AGGTAGAAAGTCAGAAAGATCTGAGAAGGGAGAAGGCCAAGTAGGTGAACCACAGCTCTACTACTACTAACTTGCTTCCTTGGGTAAGTCATTTAACTTTTCTAGGCCGCAGTGTCCTCATCATTTTGAAAAATTATATAGACCTCATGGGATTCATTTGAGGATTAAATGAGTTAAATGTTATAAAAGAACCTTGGACAGGATAGTACAATATTCAGAAAGTGATTATCATCATCTCAAAGACAAATGCTAAAATATTTTTTTAATATAGTAAGAAAATACTGATATTTGAAACACAGGAATGGCAAAGGTCTCAGAAACAAGGGATATTGTGAAACATGGAGTCAAAATCTTTCACTTGGTTATTCACATCCTCCCATAGTGATGGAGCCCCTAATTAAGCCACATTCAGAAAACCCCACAGATAGTAAGTTATCTCATTAGAGGTAGCTGAAAGTAACTGACAGAGGGGAGAAATGTCAATTGACCATAGAGAGTAGAACCAAAAGAAAGACCCATGGGAAAGAAAAGAGGAAATTCAAAAGGACAAAATAGTTGAGAATCACCAAATAAACAGAAAAAATGTGCATATTATTCACAAAGGTCTTACCAAATTACAGATTATAAAATAATTCTTGTTTGTAAATAAGTTGAAATTGTCAAAAAATTCAAAAAGCATTATGAATACTTATATATAAATATATTAAATAAAAGGTGTTTAATGGAATGGCAAAGCTTCACCTTTGCGGAAATCACTATGTGCAACATCTGTTTTCATGGATGCTGGATAAGTGAGGTGCTCCTCAGTGCAACAGTATGCAAGGTGCCACAGCAATCCATTTTTGATCACAAAGGAATGAATGGTCTTTACACAAAAGTATCCCAATTGTAAATAAATAACCAAAAACAGGTTAATTTTTTCTTGATATATGGAGGAAGAACTAATCACCAAAAACTCCATGGAGTGTGTGTTGATGACAATATTTCCTAGAGTACTGACAACAATAGATACCAGCATTTACAAAAGGCTTTTATAGTTTACATTCAAGTTATATTTTATTGCACTTAATTCCGTAATTGTCTTTTTGGCATACAAATGAACTTCCAAACTTTTCAGCCTGGTCTCTCATAATTTTTCCTTAACATCATCATTTCCTGTTACTCCTACACATATCCTAGGCTTGGGGAAAGACAAACTTTATTGTTCTTTAACTTGTTCTTACTTTCCTACTTCTGCTCTTATCCTTGCTTTTTTTCCTCTGAATCCTATACCAAAACCCAAGTCAGCTTCTACCAAGTTCATAAAGCTTCTTATGAAATGCCCCCACTTATTACACACCCCTAGCACAGTTAGACTCTTCCCCTCAAGACCCATGACATTTTATTGTTACCATTTTGCCATCCTTACTCAAATCTACTTAACTTTCTCTCCATCATCTAAAGTTAGCAGCACATAGTAGTAAAAGGGAGCTAAAGTCAAACAGGCAAGAGTATCCCAGCTCTACAAATGTATGAATGGTCAAGATACTAACTCCAAAGGGCCTGAGGTCCCTGCTCTGAAGAATGGGGACCATTACAACTGACTTTACATGCTTGTGCTTCTGTTAAACATTAAGTCCAGAATAAACCAATCAATCAACAAATGGATGCTTTCAGCGTCGTGCCTCTGATTCTACACCAAAAAAGGGAGAGGGTATTAGGTCATTAAAAACTGCCTTAACTTTCCAGATTTTCCCCTCTTCTCTGCACTGACTCTGCTCAACCTGAAGGTCAAGATATGAGATCCTCTAAACTGTGAATTAATTATAATTATTAGTTTAATTGAATAGTGGAAGGTTCCGGAAATACCCTGGCAATAAGGCAGGCTTGTACTGCTATATTTGTAAGAGTACAGACATACAGATGCTAAAAGGAAAAGTAATATCACTTCTGCATCTCCTAAAGGACAGTCACAGTCAGAAACTGAAACCTGTGAGCAGCCACAACACTGCACCATCATGTACATTGCTGAATTTAAGAGAGCTACCCAAGTTACATTCTTAGGGCAGCATTTGTGAATTACAACCAAATGACTGCTCTAATGAGATTCATCAGAGAACATGTAGCCCTCATTCAATCATTTTTTTTCAATAATGCAAATTAGTATTGGGCAATAATTCAAGAAACTGAAATCAAATCCCAGAACAGGTGCTTCCTCTCATGAGATGCACTAATACAAGATAATCAGAAGCAATAAAAGAGTTAAAGTTTCTGCAGGGGACAAAAAAAAAAAAAAAAAACCTCTCTAAAGTTACATTATTATACTCACTGCTGTTTTTAGAATTTTTTTAAAACAAAAAGGAAAAAATTAAGGGTTTTCCACACAATTGATAATGACAGAATAGATATTGGTGAAGGTAAGCATTCGCATTCACACTCAACTATGCTGAAAGAGTATGTCCTAATAGAGAACCCACTTTAAATTGGGGGTTTAAAATTAAAAGGTTACATGAAGAAAACAATTTTTTACATAATGGCCTGAATGGGACCTTGAAGAAATGCAAACATATTCATCACCAACAACCACCACAGGTCCTGGTACCTTGGGGTACCACTCAATAAGTTTTTGTTTATTAAACTGACATTCCAATTAAGACTGCAATATTAACACAAAAAAGCAACATCACAATCACCTGCACTCTACTGTAATTTCAAACCCATTTAGTAAGTAAGTTGAAACATGTATCACGTATGACAAGAAACCAATAGATTTTGGAAGTACCTGAATCTTCCACACTGTGCACTAGGAATGAGACAACATTTCACAGAAACGTATGTTAAACAAGGCAAGATGCAAAGTGAAGATACATTTATGGTCTCCACTTGCAGTAGATTGCAGGGGGCCACCTTAACAAATTTCATTACAGCACCACTATGGCAAATATTGTGACTCTAATTAAGTAATTAGTATGGGATTTCCTGTATGCAAATAATACTTCCTCAAGTGGCCATGTTGGGTTTGTATATTAGCAGTATTTAAGAAAAGGCAAACAATAAACACACTTGGTACCGGCTGCATGTTATCCAAAAATAGCAATCCAAAAACCGAACTTGATTGTTTAATTATAGGAAGCTAATGGAGTTCCCTGTGAGGTTTCAGGTAATTGTTTATTTTACCATATAAGCATGACTATGAGAAGACCTAAAGCTACTTAATGAGAAAGTTTTACTATTATTGTTATGCTAATGAGAATCTAGAGAAACATTTAAAATCACGTAGGTTACTGGAACTGACTTTAAATTTTCCAGATGCTCTACATAGTAAAAATCCTGTCTTTAACAGTAGTCAATTCCTGAAGCCTTGAGCATTAATTACATAGCAACTAGGCTAATCATTTACTCTGGATTCAAATTACCCTGAACATTGGCTAAGAAATTTTTATGTTCCATGTTAGCTTATTCAACAACTCAATAAAACCACATCAATTAAAATACTTTTTTTCCACACACTGAAATGTCTAATAACATGTGTCACTTAAAACAGTATTTTGTCCCCTGCTTGTTCTTCCCGCAGAACTTAACCAAATGCTTGGGTGGCAGGGTTTTAATGAATCAAGATTGTTTGCAAGTGGCAACACTGAAGACATAGTTAGAATTAGTCCTTTCAGGATTAACCACAATGATACTGCTTTGTTCTCCCCTTACTTGATAAATCCATTACATAATATATTTTATGTCCTGACTAGAATGGCTCAGTGGGCTGGGCATCATCCCACAACCCAAAAGGTTGCCAGTTGGAGTTTCAATCAAGGGACATGGCTGGGGTGGGCCAGGTGCCTGGTTGGGGACTTGCAAAAGGAAATCTTGCCCAGGCTGGTGTGGCTCAGTGGACTGAGCACTGGCCTGGGAGCCAAAAAGTTGCCAGTTTGAATTCCTGTCAGGGGATGTGCCTGGGTTATGGGCCAGGTCCTTTGATGAGTGTGCGCAAGAGGCAACCGATTGATGTTTCTCTCACACACTGATATTTCTCTCCCCGTTTCCCTCTTCTCCTCTCTCTGAAAATAAATTTAAATAAAAAAGGCAACCTATCAATGTCTCGCATTCTTCCTCTCTTCCCCTCTTTCTAAAAATAAATAAAATCTTTTACATAAAGTCTTTACATACTATATTTTAAATATACAATGAGCTCATTAATTTCAGATTTAGAAACACAGCCCTATACAAAAAGTACACAAACTTTTTGAAACATTTAGTCATTTCTATCATTTTAGAATTGATTAATGTCCCATCCTTCTGAACAGCCCTCCTGCATGGAAATGTTTCTCACCAACTACTGACTACACAGTGTTAACATGCACGCACATGTCACCGTATATCCTATTCTGCTATCGTTTACTCATTTACTAGTTCTAAATATTCATGCTACACTACCAACAAAACAGAAATCAAAGCATCTCTCTTGATAACTGCGTATATTACAAAATCAAAAAATGTAAGAGCTATAAGGGATACAAATTTTTATGTAGCTCCCCATTCAAATATAAAAAAATGAAGAAAGCTGAGATCTAGAGATTGACTTACATACCATCACAAAGCTATTTAGTATCAGAACTAGATCAAGACTGTTTCCTATGACACAACTAGAGTAACCTAAATTTGCCATCTTTACTATAGGCATTTTCTGACAACAGAAGCTGAGTTCCTAGAAAAACTATTTAGGAAAAAATTCATAATAAATACACCACCATTCATAAAAATCAACTCCCTCTAAAAATCAGTGGAATATGCACAATGAGAAAAAAAACAATTGGTAATACATTGCTCTTTGCACTCCACCAGTGTTTGGAAAAGTGAACTCAGAACTCAGAAATAGGAACAAGCCTCTTATGTTTTCACTTAACCCCTAATTCAGTATTCCCTTCCTGCTGCTAGGCCTTCAGTGGGAATTCCCTATTTGCTTACTGGGAATTATAGGATTGATTGCTCACATCCACCATAAATAGCCTGTCATTGGAACCTACCTCCTTGGCCATGTCTGTGTATTTCTGCTTCTCCTCTGGATCGAGAACAGCCCACCAATCAGCTAGTATCTTGGTAGCACCTCGGTTATCAAGCCTGGGGTGTTTCTGACGTACAAGGGAGCGATGGCGTTTGCAAAATAAGAGAAATGCATTCATTGGTCTGCGGGCTCGCTGTTCTGGTGATTCATCATCTTCAGTCTCACCAACATCTTGCTCTAGGCCATCAGCCCCAAGAAGTTGAACCTATTACCAACCAAAATAAAAGCCAGATGCTTAATACATCCTGGGCAATCTTGCTTTAATAATTAGTCTTGGTTTTCAGATTGTATTTTTTTAAACACTGAAGAATTTCAAGCATGGAAGGGATATATCAGATTTTTGTATTTATTTACTTATTTATTTTTTGATTTTAGAGAGAGGGGAAGGGAGAGAGAAAGTGAAGGAGAGAAACATCAATTGGTTGCCTTCATATAAGCACACCAACTGGGGAGACCAAGAACTGAATCTGCAACCCAGGCATGTGTCCTGACCAGTAATCGAACCAGTGATCTTTTGCTTTGCGGGATAACGCCCAACCGAGACACACCAGCCAGAGCTCAAATTGTATTTTTTTCTTAGTTCCATTTAAACAATTTAAAATTGAGGAAAAAATTATTTTTTAGAAATTATCAACCACTGGTAGAGGTTGGTAAACAACTTATGATGTATTCTTCTGCTTAGTTTCTATAGCAACCTGTGCACGCCTATTACAGCATATATTACATTGTGTTATAATTGCTTAGATTTTTTTTCATACATAACACCTAACTGTTGAACAAACGAATAAACCTATTGTGGCATATGGGTCTCAAGATTAACAACAATATTTGCACAGAGTACACAAATATTAGGAGTTGTCTTTCTCTTCTTCGTAAAGTACTTTTTATAGCTAATAATATGAAAATGTTTCACCTGAAGATAAATAAAAACCTAACACTACACAATGTTTTTGTGCATATCACAAGTAGATAGCCTTCTACTGTGACAATCAAAATAGAAATTTAACATTATATGAAGAACGACATTATAAATTTTCAAGCTTGTAAATCTACACTTTCCTGTCTAGTGAAATGCTATGGTGATAGAAATAAACTCATCCAGGCTCAAACCCTCAAAGCCTGTTCTGAGTCCTCCCTTTTTCTAAGTATTTCATTCAACTCAAAGTCTTCAAGGACTGGACAGTGCTCTGATCCTGTCCATTCCATCTGTATAGTTCTCACTGCTACTCTCCCAGTTCCACTCTGGCCTATGACCTACTCTTCCTGCTTTTGATCTCTTACAAATACTTCCTGCATATGGCTGAGGATTAAATTTCTTAGAGCACATTTTTGATTACAGAATCTCAGAATATATAAGGTTATTAAGTGTCTTCTAATGCTAAAATATGATTTTATGCTTCTTTCTTAGAAACAATGCAACTGTGAATAGAAGTCCAGAAATGCTTACTACAAAGCATTTCTTTAATCTTTTTTTCATAGTTAAAATCAGGAAGGATCGAGGTTGCTGTTAGTCTGCATTGCATAGTAGGTCAGTAGTTCTCAAACTTGGGTGGGCACTGAAATCCTTAAAGGTCTTGTTAAAACAGATTGTTAGGTCCCATTCCCAGAGTTTCTGATTCTGCAGATCTGGGGCTGGCCTTAAGAATTTGTATTTCTGACAAGTTCCCTCCTGATGCTGATGCTGCTGGTCTGAAAATCACACTTTGTGAGCCACTACTATAAGGCAACCATGTTCTTTTACCTCATGTGTACTGGGCAATTGTTACAGATAAGACACTCTGTGACAAATCACTAGGTTAATCTCATTTAGTAATTTTTTTTAAGTCTTTTAAGTTTAAATTAAGTATTGCAAATGCATTTAATTAACCATCAATTATCTTCAAACATAAATAGTACAGAACAAACTTGTAATCATAGCTATCTGATTTGGAAATACGTTAGGGATTATTACTGGGTTAAAAGCTACAGGTTTATTCTTATTACATAGACAACCATTAACAATAATTTGTATTTTCAAGGAATATTTATTTAGCATTCTCAAAGTGAGAAGAAGCTAAAGAAAAACCAAGCTTAAAATAAATGTATTATGTAGGTTGAGGAAGTAAATACATTTCCATTAAAAAAAGAATGGCTTTTGATGCAGTTACTAAATTATAAAATTCAAACCAAGGGCTGGAAAAATAGATAAATAACATAAGATCCTGGCCCAAGGAGCTCAATGTTTTGGGAGGGGAGAAAGATATATATGCAAATAAATTAAAAAGCAGGATGCTGACTGCATCAAGGAACCAGTGAGATAATGAAGCTCTTAGTAGATGGGCAGAAGCACACAGAGGTCTCCCTAGGAAAGGTGTTGTCTGAGCTAAATTCTGAAAGATGAATTGGAATCTGTCACAGAGTCAATGGGGAGACATGGGGGAGCTAACATGGGGGATTAAGGCTCAATGGTTTATTCAAACATCCACATGCAATTCAATAGCGCTGATATATAAAAGATTAGAACAGGGACATGAGAATGTAGAAGGTAGAAGCCACTTCATGAAGAATGTGTTCTGTCACCTAAAAAAAAACAAAAAAAACAAAACACACAACATGCTTTTTTAATCATATAAACAAGTTTGCCAACTTATTTGTAAAACAAGTTGGTTTCAGATTGTACGGACCAATAAAAAATTTTGAAGGTCCAACACAGACAGCCAATGTTTTACTTTGCCAAGTACAGACATCAAAAAAAAAAAAAAAAGTTTTTAACTACTATGTAGTAATATTAACTAACAAAAAAAAAATGAGTAAACAAATAAATGTGACTAAATAAATAAAATAAAATAAAAATGAAAAACTACCTGAATTTATTTTTCTTTCACCAGAGGCTCAGTACTGTAATACTTTGTAACAAATCAACATTAGTACTAGACTAGGATATGGAAACCCTGCTTAAAACCACAGGTGAGACACTGTTAGATTTGTATTTTAAGACAAATCTTGTCGGCAATGTAAAGCATGAATTACAACAGCACAACTAGAAGTAAACAAAACTTGAAAGAACAAATAAAAGTTTATTCCAGCTGTCCAGACAAAAAAGGGCACAGGGCTGAGTCAAGGCAGCAACTATGAGAATGGATAATGTGAACATAGACAGTATTTATTTATGAGGTGAAACCAAGAGTGGTATCTAATTGGATTTAAAGTTTGAAAAAGGAAGACTGTTTCTAGCTTCAGTGGCAAGACTCCTTCATACAAAACAAAGAATACATTTTCTCAAATGAAAGCAGTTAGATCTGGTGGGAGCAGAAAGATCAGTATTGAGCAGGCTGAATTCGAAGTCGCGCTCAGCAGAGACCAGGCACTCTTGTAGGTGATGCACACACAGCCGTGAGCATACGAAGTCCCTGCCCTCCTGGAGCAGAAGAGCAGCACAGCCAGCCGTGCACTCTGAAATGATCCTTCTGGCTGCTTTGCTGAAAACAGACTGTAGAAGGGCAGGAGCAGAGGCAGAGAGAGAGAGAAAGAGAATAATATGCACCAGAAATGATGGCAGCTTAGAGTAAGTTAGTCATAGTATAGTTGCTAGGAAGGGGTCAAACTGAGAACATATTTTGAAAGTATAGCTAATAATTTGATGATGGAAAGATGAATGTGAGATTTGTGCAAACGGAAACAGACAAGGTTTCAGGTCGGACTGACTTGCAAATTGGAGTTGCCATTAATTGAGAAAGGGAAGATGCAAATTGGGGTTTGAAGGAGAGAGACAAAGGCTTCATTTTGAACACATTCAAACTGAGATTCTGATATGATATCTAAGTGGATGTGTCAAGTAAATAGTGAGAAATTTGAGGCCAGAAATTAAATAAGAGGCCCAAAAGAAATCAACACTTGCAGGTAGAATAATGGAGGGGCATCAACCGAAAGAAATCAGGCAAATAAGTTTGGGAAGGTAGGAACAGAAATAGGAGTAAGTGATGTCATACATATAGAGACAGTTTCAAGGAACAAGTGATCAACAGGTGCAAATGTGTCAGACAGATCAAAGTAAGTATAAACCTGGCAATTTCCTTAAAAAGAAGGAGTAACATCTATTTCTCTGAACAAGGAAAGGAGGAGGAAAAGATGAGCAAGGAGTGAGAAAAGTATGCAGGTGAGAAGAGGAGAGGAAACTGAAGAAGTCATTTCTATTTTCTCTATGAAAAAGGAAAAAAAGGTCAAGAGTGAAAAAACCATAAAATGTATCTAGAGACGATGTCTAAGAAAACAGGAAAAACGTTTCTAATTCGAGCTGAGACAGCAAAGAAGGAGCTGACATAAGCCAAGGGCAAAAGAATGAATGGATGTCAAAGGCCTGAAGAATATTAAAAATGTGCTTATAAAATTTGTAGGGACACAAAATATGTACTCATTTATTCTTCCACTGAGCGTATATCTGTTCAATACTTACTATGTGTCAGGCACCATTCTAGGTTCTAGGGAAAGGGAGGAGCATTAAGAGGGGCAAGACCCCTGCTCTTATTGAGCTTATATTCCAGTTGAGAAAAACAGACGTAAACAAGGGCATGGTTAAACACAAGGCAAAAAGTAAGAAGTGCTATTTGACTTTTATTTGAGCTGCAGGTCAAGGAAATCCTGTGGCCTGGAATGAGTTGGGTAGGAGGAACACCTGAAATGAGGAGGTCCCATCTGTTGGGGAGACAGTTCTTAATGATGAGGAGTTATGCCAAGACCTGAGGGAAAATGTGGCTTTCTAAAGTCACCTACATGGGTGTGTGACTTTCTAAACAAAATGGGGCTGCTCACGTGTGAGTCCAGAGAAGGGGACTTGGAAGACTGACTGCCAGAGGGGCTTGGTTGGGTGAGAGCAGCCAGTCACCACAGAGAGGACCTGAAGAGCTGTGAGTGCCTACGGCGGCAGGCCTAGGCTAGACGCAGAGAAACAGGCCAGGGGAGCACGGGGCTGGCTGACAGGTGAGCACACCAAATTTAATGAATACCCCCATCTCCACTATGCCTCAGTATGACTGCCAAAATTATTAGTTAATTGATGGAAATAGTATTTAACAAAGTTCTGTTTCAGTCTAAACTATTAGGAAGTACAGGTACTTTAAGAATCATCAACATTTGGAGTCAAAATGTAGATTATATAGTTAAATAGGATTCAAATTACACAGACTTTAGGAATGCATCTTGCACATGACAGGTGTTCACTGAAGCTTCTAGAATGAATGCTCAAATATACTTAAAACTTCTACAATAAATGGAGGAATTACCTTATCAATATCCTCCTCTTCGTCTTCCTCTTCCTCCTCTTCTGAAAAGTCAACGGGTTTCTTTGCGAGCAATGGATGCCACTGAAGACACTTTCGTTTGGGTCTTTTTCCAGCCCCTTCTCCTTCAGTTGAATGATCTTTATTTCTATTACTGCCTTTCATTACTGTGACCTATGAAAAGGAAAGAGAGAGAAAAACAGAAAAATCACAATACATTTATTACAATTATTTTATTTAGCTTCCTTAGCTTAAATCGGATTGAAGTTTTAATGACTAAGGTATCTACTAGCTCAAGTAAGAATTCAGTAAGAATTCTGAGTACCATATTTTGCCAAGTATATTGTGCACCCACGTTTTTGGCCCAAACTTTCAGGAGAAAAAAAAATCTTTTGTTTTAATTTCTTAATTCAATTATTTATTTATTTATATTTAGATACTGTTTTTGTATTATAAAGGAATTTTAGCTTGTATTTTTTAACATATTATGGTACAAGAAATTTTATGTAACAAATAATTACAAAACACAAAAACAGATACAAGGTATTTCAGGTAGCACCCATGTGTAATGCACATCCTTATTTTCCCCCTCAAAATTTTGGGCAAAAAAGTGCACATTATATGTGGCAATATATGGTACATAATCAAACATTCATTTCAGTGGGCCAAATTGAGCTAATAAAGTTTGCCTTTAATGAAATCTACTTCCCTTCACTCCATAACCTCAGAGCCCAAAACCCAAATAAAGTGTTAGGATGATTACAAACCACTGCGACCTGTTCATTTTTATTCAGGGCAGGGTTTCCCAAAGTTTCCTATCAGAGAAATGGGAAAGGTGCCTCCCGGGGGAACAGAGTGCTCAGAGAGGCGGCCCTCCATGCCTTCTCTGATGGCTCCTACTTTAATAACTTACAGAAATTTTGCATTCTACACTATGATAAACCTGAGATTGGAAGTATTATTAAATAAAATGAACATTTTGTAAGAATCAAATATTTTGGATTTAAAATAAAATTTTCATAAAATGACACACATTTGTCAAAAAGTAGTTATGTGCAGCCTCCAAGGAGACTGAATAAACAGTGTAGGTCTCTTAGTGGGATGAGTGGTCCCAGTATCCATCTGTGACACACAAATTACAAATGCATTTGTGTCTCTCCATTACATACATACTGCAATCCGGTGACAAAGTTTTACTCCCTTGTTTTTTCTCCCCCAATTGGTGATTTGCTGAAACAGTTAGGCAATAGCCAGTCTATGTTATATGACAAAATCTTTCAGGAACCCAAAATTCTAAGTTTCTTTTCAATGACTAAAAAAAAGGAAAAAAATTTTTTTCTCCCAAAACAATCTACAGATTCAATGCAATTCTTATCAAGGTTCCAATGGCGTATTTCACAGAACTACAACAAATATTTCAAAAACGTATATGGAACCACAAAGACCCTGCATAGCAACAGCAATCCTAAGAAAGAAGAACAAAGCTGGAGGAATCAAGTTACCTAATATCAAACTACACTATGAGGACATAGTAATCAAAACAGCATGGTACTGACATAAAAACAGACACACAGATAGATCAATGGTACAGAATAGAGAGTCCAGAAATAAACCCACACCTTTATAGTCATATAATATTCAACAGAGGAAGCAAGCACATACAATGGGCTAAAGATAGTCTATTCAATAAATGGCGCTGGGAAAATTGAACCAATACGTGCAGAAAAATGAAACTAGACCACCTTCTTACACTACACACAGGAATAAATTCAAAATGGACCAAAGACTTAAATGTTACACCTGAAACCATAAAAATCCTAGAAAAAAACATAGGCAGCAAAACCTCAGACCTTGCTCGTAGCAATTTTTTATCAGATATTTCTCCCCGGGCAAGGAAACAAAAGAAAAAATAAACAAAGGGGACTTCATCAAACTAAATGTTTTTGCACAGCAAAGAAAACCATCAACAAAATGAGAAGACAGCGCACAGAATGGGAGAACATATTTGCCCATATATCTGAAAAGGGGTTAATATCCAAAATTTATGAAGAACTTGATAAAAGTCTACAGCAAAAAAAAAAAAAAAATCCAATTTTACAAAATGGGCAAAGGACCTGCACAGACGTTTTTCCAAAGAGGACATATGGATGGCCAATAGACAGACATATGAAAAGATGCTCAATGCCACTAATCATCAGAGAAATGCAAATTAAAGACACAATGAGATACCACCTCATGCCTGTCAGAATGGCTATCGTCAATAAAATCAACAAACAAGTGCTGGTGAGGATGTGGAGAAAGGGAACCCTTTTGCACTGTTGGTGGGAATGCAGATTGATGCAGCCACTGTGGAAAGTAGCATGGAGATACCTCAATAAATTAAAAACGAATCTGTCTTTTGACCCAGAGATCCGACTTCTGGGAATATATGCAAAGGAACCCAAAACATTATGTTCACTGCAGCGTTATTTACAAGTACCAAGACATGGAAGCAGCCTAAGTGTCCATCAATAGAGAAGAAGATAAAATTATGGTACATTTACATAATGGAATACTACTGAGCCATAAAAAAGGAGGAAATTTTACCCTTTGTGAAAGCATGGATGGACCTGGAGAACATTATGCTAAGTGAAATAAACCAGTCAAAGAAAGTCAAATACCAAATGATTTCACTCATGTGGAATCTAATGAACAAACTGAACAAACAAGGAAAATGGGGACATACTCATAGATGGAGAACAGATGACAGCTAGGGGAAGCAGGAAAGGTTAGGAGGTGGAGGGACTGAGCAAAAGGAAAACGGACTCATGGACATGGACAACAGGGCGGTGACTGCTCGGGGAAGGAGGAGTAAAAGGGGACTAAGTGGTAATGGGAAAAAAATACAATAAAGATTAAAAGGGTTCTTCTAAATAAAAACAACACATTTATATTATAAAAGTGAAAACAGCGTAAAATGAGGTTTACCTACGTTATTATATCTCAGAGGTAAATTCTACCTGTCCAGTTTCTTATATACTTTAACACAATCTGTTTGATTTATCTTCATTCATTTGAAGTAACAATATACAAATTATGGTTTAAACGTACATATGCAAACATCCAATAATGAAATTAATTGCCATCTATTTAAATGGTTCATGATGACAATTACAAACAGAGCTGCTGTTGCTAAAAACTCAAGGTAAGTGGCCTTTTTGGTCAGTATAATTCTGTCTTGGTCCAAATGCTTGAAAAGTGGTATCAATAAACTTCGAACGCCATGCTGCTAAAAATGAGGTTCACATATAGTTTCAAGATTTATCCATTTCTAGGCCTTCAAAACAATATGGCATAGGCAAATGCATCCTTCCTTAATTATTTCTGGATGTGGGGTCATGCTTAGGTCTCCCTCACTTCAAATTTTTAAAAAAATTAATTATGTTTCCTTCTAGAACTTGCATGACCTTCTTTATTTTAAAAGTTTTAAATATCTGACCTGGAATTCATTCTGATGCAAGGAGCAAGGAAGGGAAATAGCTTCTTTTTTTCCCCAAATACCTACTCAGACAACTTCCAGTACCATTTATTAAATAATCGAAGTTTCTCTCATTCTTCTGAAATACCACTTTTGTCATTAGACCACAAAAGTGGTCAGGATACTACTTTTATCCTATCCTAAATTACTACATGTATGAATCTATTTCTGAATTCTCTTCTGTATTATAAACATATTTTAAGCCCCCATATTACAGAAGAGAATTCAGAAATAAGATTCACCTTTTACCTGTCTTGCCTATTCTATCCAACTTTAATATTTTTAAGAACTATCATCCTGTACCTTTTTTAGATACAACTATAACAAGTAAGAATAGCCATTACTATTTTTAAATTGCCTATAACATGCTCTCTTTCTAAGTAAGTGTACCTTGATCATTCTCATTTGGTAATAACTATGTAACATTCCAAAATAAGAATATATCTCAATTTATTCAATTATTCCACTATTGATGAACATTCAAATTATTTCTTTTACTGAAATAAAAATTCTCATTTATTAAAATATTTTCCAAGTAGTCATTTTCATAAAAATCCTCATTAATTTATTAATGTCTAGTCAAACGGAAAAAAAAAAAAGAAAAGAGAAAAGAAAACCATCTTCCTGCAGTTTTCTCAGCAAGAAACTTCTGCTGAGTATCTGAAGCAATTACATGATTTGTGTGGCTGCCTCAAGAGTACAAGTAGTTATTGAAAACTCTAAATGGAATTAGTTATCTGGTTTGCTCTTCACAAAGGAACAAAGATTTCTTGTGAACTGGTGATAGACCATTTAACAAACCCCATTCTATCTACAAATAAAACTTGGCACAGGCAACCCAATTTCCAAAAATACCAATGCTATATAGAGAGAAGAGGAAATGGTTATTTTTGTGGCTTATTAATCACTTCAGGATGAGCTGCTTGAGTGGTAATTAAACCCATACTGGAGACCCAATATTTCATGAGATAACACATTTTTCAAAGAGTAACAGAAATCAATGGGAAACTATGAGTTGTTACCAACAAGAAAGGTTAAAGTGACTGCCAATGCCTAGAGGAAAATATATCATTTAGCCTTAAGGATTTTCATTATGCTGTTTCACTTATGTATGAATGTGTTTAAGTATATGTGCCTTTGTGTATATACATATAATTTCAATATTCAACCAGAAAATAGAATATCAAGAGTCACACCTATGAATGGTATAATGTGGCTTTTGGGTTCAAAATGATCACATTAACCCCTACCCCAAACTTTTCTAATTCTTACCATGTAGCCGACATGCCACAACAGATACTATTTATCTCTTCTGATACTCCCCAAATCAATTTCTTCTTCCCCAGAAATACATTAGAAAGATTTTGTATTGCCAATGACACTTAACCACATTTTATCTGAAATAACAATTGTTTGGATACATCCTACCTCCATCACTAGGCCTTTTTCTTGATGATAAATCATCAAGACTTTATTTGTCTTTATGTGTTAAGAAGCACCCTGGCTCACCAGAACATCAAGGTCAGTTAATTGGGAGGGTTATCATAAGCAACTATACAAACCTTCACCCTGAAGTTTTGCAATAATTCACTATTTTTATATACCAGGATGATTTCAAAATCAGTCCCCATCTCTCTCATTCTTCTGAATTCAGATA